TATTTTCTTTTGTATTCTAATCGGTATCGATATTTTTAATAGTTTTTTAAATGAAAATTTATTTGATGTTATGACTAACAGAGAAAAGGGCAATATTGAATTAGTACAAATGTAACTATATCATGCTTATATACATATATGCATGTGCAAATGAATGATGAAACTATTTCACTATTGATAAGATAATGTGTACATGCACAAAATTTAATATATATGAACTTATACCATAGAATCAGATAAAAATAAATCGAATACTACATCATTTCTTCTCATATGTATAATATGAGTAAATAGTTCTTTTTTCTTTTGTATTTATATTTCATTCAGTCATTCATACATTCATTCTTTTTTTGAGTTTCTAAACTAAAAATCTTGATTAGAAATCATTTCGATTAGAAATAATACGTGCATATATGTGGAAGGTCATGCATAAGTAAACAGGTACGATAAACAAGAGAAAAGAAAAAAAAATATCCTTGTATGTATTGACATCATCAACTGTGTTTTTTCTTTCTTTGATCAGGTTATAATTGTCATTTATTCGATGTGTACGATCGAATGGTCTTTTTTTTTTTATTTATCTACCCATCCTTTTTTCAACATAAGAACGAAAATTCTCTTTATTCGTTTCTTTTTTTTTGTTCGTTCGATCAACAAAAAAAAGGTAAGAACGAATCAATACGAAAAAAAACCTACCAAAAAAAAGGGACGCAAGTAATAAGAACAAAGAACAAGGTAGTTTAGGCATGTTGAAAACTTCATTTATTACTATTACCAACACGACTGCAAACGTCTCACTTCTGTTCTGTCTCAACATACGTTTCAATATGATATGATTCAACAAGTAGAATAAAAATTCAATAATTAACTACGTGAAAACATTTAGTTTATACAACATATAATTACATACATATTATCAATAAATCTCTTGAACAAAAAACGGCAATGAATATAATGATTAAACTAAGGTAAGCGAATATAAAAAATAAATTTTCTATTCTTCTTTTATATTTATAAACTTTCGTTGAGAATGAAAAATGATAACATGAACAATTTTATTAAGTACTTGTAGTAGAACTATGATAACAATATAAAAAGAAAAACAATTATTATATAAACGTTAGTAGATCCAAAGTAGAAGATAAATTAGATTGAAAGTTTTATTATAAAACTATTTATGACAAGGTTAAAATTTTATTTCTTATAAGCAAAAAAGAAGAATGTCTTATTAAACATTTATTTTTTAGCAATTTTATTTGTTTGTTTTATTTTCGAGACCTTTGAAATGATAATATTTGAATTTAAAATAATCTGCTCTAGATACTGTAAACTTTGTACATAAAATGAAAGAAAAAAAACGTTTTTTTTTCATCTTGAAAAGTTGAGATGTATGTATCACAAAGAAATTTCTTTTTTATATTATGTAGATTTTTATCATTAACATATCATTGTGATAACTGTCATGAAAATGTTTATTAATTATACAACTAATGCAGATGATGAAAGTAAAGAGAAGCTGCTCAGTGTATGATATTCAAACAAAAAGAAAAAGTAATGAAGATCTTAATAATGAGCATGAATTTTTATCTGATAAAAAATTAACGATTGGCATTATTATTGGTTTATGTCTTACCATATGTACTATTATTCTTCAATGTGTTGCTTTTTTTACACCACATTGGAAAGAAATCTCTCCTAAAACTAATTCATTATATATTGATGGTGTTGATGCTCTTATTCGTACTGAAATTTTAGTATATTTCAATTCTGTTCATCGTTTTACTCGTCATTCTTATGGTTTATTTCAACGATGTGAATATATATTAAGTAATTCATCTCAATCAATTAAAGATCAAGAAAGAATTATTCTTAATCATGACATATTTAAACAACAAAAACATTGTACAAAAAATTTTCTTCCATCCTATAATGATGAATATTTTAATGAATGTCATAGTTTACAATATTATCGTTTTTGTTCGAAATCAAGTGAAAAAATATTTGATATTCACAATGATTATCTTCGTGTAACATTTGATATATTATCTAATCCAAAGAAAAGTATTGATTCAACATCTTTATGTGATTGTCATTATCCAACATATGTAAAAGCATGTTTTGTACTTGAAATATTTGCATTAAGCTTTTTATCTTTAACTGCAATATTTTTTATTGTATTTCCATTTCTTAAAACTCGACATCATTGTTTAAAAATCAAATGTTTCGGTGTATTATCATCAATATTATCAATGCTATTTATTTTAATTAACTTAATTATTATGTTAAGTCATTTAGAATATGAATCAACTGAATATTTAATTGCTATTGAAAAACATTATAGATCAAGTCAAATTTATAAATTATCATTAGATACAAAATTAGCTATTAATCGATTTCTATCAAGTATTAATATTGAATTGGGTTACTCAGCAATTATAGCTTGGATTGCATTTGCTCTATCAATTATTGATGGACTATTTTTTATGTTAACATGTAAAATAAAACGTGATCGAGATGATATAGAATCTCTTTTTTCTGCAATTCCTATGGATTCATCACAACTTGATAGTAGCAATGAAAATGAAATATATCAAAGACCAACGACTCCGCTTACATCTGCAGAACATGCAACTAATTATCTAGTTTCTCCTCCGTTTATTTCTCATCCTCCTCCACCACCACCACCGCCATCAATAGAAATTAATGATTCTAACAACCAATTAAATACTCCTTCTTATACTCCATCTTCATGTCTAAAACGTTCAACACCGCCTCATATTCATTTTGAAGATGAAGTATAATTCTTCTTTTTTTTTTTGTCATTGTGTTTTTTTTTAATAATAACTTTAGTTTAATTTTTTATGACCTACTAAAAAAGAAATAATTAGAATCTTTTTTAGTCTGTTTTTTTTTTGTCAAAGTGATTTAATGTAGCAAAGAATAAATAGAGATAAAGAATCGTATATTATTTTTTTCAATTACAAGGAAGATCAATACAGAAATATATATGATTTATTAACAACGACAAAAATGATTTTAATTAATTTTTTGTTTTCTTCATTCTGTGTCACTGATTTTTATCTCCATTATTTCAAAAATGATATTTTGTTCAATCAAATCGGTAACGTTTGTCAAAACGATATCGTTTGTTAATACCATCGTAGTCTGATCGTTTGTCAAATCGATAACGTTTATCAAAACGATATCGTTTATTAAATATTAATGAATGAGCATCGTCGTTGTCATGTTCATTTGATTCATTACTTTCAAGTGATGTTGTTGTATCTTTTTTATCAAGTCGATAACGTTTGCTTAAATCATGAGAATTGGCTTCCAAATGTGCTGCAGAAGTTTCCGTACAAACGAGTAACAGTTGACTACCGATCTATGAAAATATAAAATACAAAACAAATGAAAAATATATAAACAGGAAATAACGATACAATATCGTTTCTAAGCGGAAACTATTGCAATAAATAATGAAGAAAACGAACTAGGGGCATCCGTCCTGTCTATCTCTCTTCTTGTATTCATGGATAGACCAACTAAATTAACATGCAACAACATTAAAAAGCTAATGCATGAAATTTTGAAAAATAGATCTAATGAAAAAGAAATTTATTATCATTACAACTATATACTAAGTATCGTTTTCTTAATGTTAATTGAATTTATTTTAGAACTTAAAATAAAATTCTTAAAATCTATTTTTATATACAATATTAATAATCAACAGTTACTTACGATAACGATAGTAAATAGAAAGAGAAAATTATTGTGGACGAGTTTCATTTTCTGATAATCTAGAAGATTTTGGAAATAATATGAAGAAATTGTCAGTCGTTTTAGGTTTGACTCGTAGACGTTGATTGTCTATCTTCTTTATTTTCGTTATGTTATTATTCGCAATATGATATACTACGATAATAAAATGATAGAAAAATATATATAATGATAGAAAAAAAGAGAAGAGAAAAAAAAACGAGCATTTCCGGATCTTTTTGTCTCTCTTTGCTCTTCTTTCTCAAACATCTTTTACAAGCAAAATATGAATGAAAAGAGAGAAGAAAAAAAAGAAATTTCCGTTTATTCAAAATGTATGCATTAATATAGTGTCTTAGAAAAATCATGAAACGATTAGTTATGTAGTCTCATATTGACAGATCGTGTTTGACGATCGTCACATCTCATTAACTAATGTCGTCTTTATTTTCGTGTATATATAAATCGATCAAACTCACAAGAGAAAACAAAAAATTCCGAAACACATAAGATTTGTCATTATTTAACAAATTAGCATTAAGATAAATAATAATATATCACGACATATTCAAATTATTCTTTTTTATTTATGATTGAAATAAATATTGATAAATTCTGTTATTTGATTTTGTTGCAAATAACTACTTAACTTTTATTATCTAATACAAGTGGTTGATTATTTTTCATAATGATTTATTTTATTTTATTTATTTATTAATAAACATATTCACATAAGTATGAGAAATATTGATAAATGTCAAATAAGAATGAAACAAATAGTTTTATTTTTTTTCTAAAAATTCTTAAGAAAAAGTGCAGCGCCACATTGAAGCCATTTATCTTTATCACTACCACATGGAACATTTAGACGTGTAATAATTCTATCACGAGTTGCACTAAAATAAACTGGTAAAGATATTGTTTCATGT